GCTAGTTTTAAATTATATTTATAAATACTTGAAAAAAATATATGAAAATAAATGCGATCGCAAATAATTATAAAACGAAGGTACAATTCATATAGATATAATTATCACATAACCAAAGCACATACCGAGTACAGAACCATTTAAAATGTTCATAAATATTCGTATTTGTTGTTGCACTTTTTATGTTGTTTTGATTATTATAAAATATGCGGAAGAAATTCCTATTTCTTCCAAAATTGATTGAACAAAATCTTTCTTTTTTCAACGGTATAAGTTGAATTGTTTAGAATTGAATGTTGATTATATACATACAATAACACTAAATATCTATACTTGACGAAGTTAAAAGCAGAATGTTGAATATTTCGATCTGCATACATTCTGCAACATTTAAGGAATTCACCTCAATTACTCATTTCCTGTTGATTTCTTCAGCTATAAACGGGTTTCTTCCCAGAAAATTAAATAGTTCAATTCGATATACGAATGAAGAAAGTTCAAAAAGTTTAAATAGTCAAAGCTTTTAATAATTTGAAAATATAAATAATACATATAAATTGTAAAGTATTTTTATTTGCAGAAGAAAATTAGTGTGATTCGATACCAGTGATAATATTAAAAAAATAATTAAAAGTAAAACATGAAAATGTACACCGAATCGATATCTACTTTCTATTGTGTATTTTTAGAAGACACTTCTATTCACATGGATATTTAATTCTGAAAATCGCGTTGTTGATAAATGAATGCATCTTTGTTCTAAAATTAAATTAAGAACATAACAGTTACCCAAAATAAAAAAATTGCTCTAATTTTTATTGAGTTAGTAATTACTTAATAATAATATAATCTAATAAGAACAATCTCCAAATCTAATATTCTAGGCTCTACTTGAGAATGGTATAACCCCATACGTTACCATGTACCATTGGGACCTGCCTATTCCTCTGCAGGAGTTAGGAGGGTGGCTTAACCCAATTATTGCAGACCACTTTGCTAATTATGCTCGTATTTGCTATCAACTATATGGGGATATTATTAAGAATTGGATTACTTTGAATGAACCACATACATATTGCGTTTTGGGGTGAGCTAATACTTTTAATACTCATTAAGTTTAGAGGAAATATATTTATTCGAGCTTTTATGAGATTTTGAAGTTGTAGAACAGTAATCATAAGTAAAGGTCTTACATTTTGTAAACAAATTTTATATAAATTGAAGAGCCGTTTTTGCCTACCTATGCCGGGGTGTTATTTATTATGTTAAATTAGAAATTCAGAGTCAAAAGCTTAAGAAAATACATAAATCTGTTGATGTTTGTTATAGCTATGGATCAGGATATCATGCACCAGGTTACGTGCTTCCTGCCACAGGAATTTACCAATGCGCCTATACTAGTGTTTTAGCACACGCCAAAGCCTATCACATCTACAATGATGAGTTTCGAGCTGATCAGCAAGGCATGTGTTTCAAATTTTTAGCTGAAACTCAAAAAAAATAATTAATATTTTAGGAAGAGTTACAATTGTCATTGATAGCTCTTGGATGGAACCTATTACCGATACGGAAAAGAATGTAGAAGCAGTTCAAAGAATGTTCGATTTTTCTGTAAGTAGAACTGTAATTTAACTGATTTTGATTGAAGAAATATATCTCTTGCGTTCTTTTGCTGCAAAGCTGGATATTACAGTAATGCATTATACTTTTTTAAAGTTTGATAAGAATTGGTTGCTTAGGTAGGATTATATGCCCACCCCATTTACGTTGGTAACTGGCCTGAACGTGTTATAAATATAGTGGATGCTAGAAGCACATTGGAAGGATATTCTTCATCCAGATTACCGTCATTTACAGACGAAGAGATCGAATATATTAAGGGCACATTTGACTTTTTCTGTCTGAATTCGTAAGTTGAACAAAAGCCAGTAAAAACATTGAGTTTTAGATTTAAAAATATTTACTTTAAGTGCATTAGACACAGTTAAGAAAAAATACTTCTCTTCTTAATCTTACATTTGGCTCTTTTAGAAATACTCTTCAAATAATGGTCGTTTGCTCAAAGTTTCCAACTTTTTCCTAATCTGTTATCTTATATTTTTAATACGCTCGTTTGTTGTCTAATTTATATTTTTCGTCTTCTCTATAAGCGGCGACATAATGTTGTCTTGACAATAAAATATTTGCAAAAACTAACTAAACTAACTATTGTATCATATTAAGAAATTCACATTAAAGTTAAACTCTCTAAACGCTGAAAGGGCAGGTACATAAACGTTTTCTAAATTGCATTTATTGTTCATAATATATATATATATATAACTTGAACATTGTGTCTGAAGTTGAACATATTGTGCTGGTTTACCACACACTTCGATTCAAATTTGAGCTTCTTGTGAAACGTTTCTTCTGCTTATTAGTCTTCAGATCTGATCGCTTCGAAAATTTTAACTAGATTGCCATGTTTTGAGAACTTTTATAAAGTCACCAGTTTCTCTTATGATATATAAATTCACAACTTATGCTTTCATTTAGTTTGTATGCCGCAAATAAAAACCGGAGTACATTACACATAAACCTAATAGAAAATAGTATAATATTGTTATTTTGCATATATAACTTTCAAATCCGTTTTAGGTATTCAACTTATTTAATAGAACATATAAATAATTGGGATGAAATGATAGATCCCAACGGCGCTTCATTCGATTTAGATGCAGGTAAGTAATCTTGTTGCATTTTCCGTAGTTTTYATCGGACCAAMATTTTTATTCTCCAAGATAAATGTCTATACTCGTACGTTCATTAAATTTTTTAACATTTTAAGAACATTGTCATTTATGGCAAAATAATAATAGTWGRTTAACAATTTTTATAGAACCCTGCTATATAAGCCGGAAAGCTCCTGATGAGTTAAMGTTTGGCACTTCTTAAAGGGGTTCCTTAGAACAGTAGTTACAATAAACAAATTTCCAGGTGTTTCCTATTCTTTCGACCCATCTTGGCCATCAGACGTGAATTGGGTCAGCAGAGTACCACAAGGCTTCAGAAAAATATTGAACTATGTTTACAACACATTCGGCCAGCCAGAAATTGTTGTGACAGAAAATGGATGGGCTCAAAACCTTACCACTGTAGGGCTAGACGATCAAGATAGAATTACATATCTCAAAGTAAGAATTATGAAAAATTATATTAGAATATAATTTAATTATTGGAAAAAAAAAACGCCTATAGTCATGGCCGGATTAACTTGTGGTAGTGCCCAGGGCTGCGATCCCTGCAGAGGCCCCTTTCTAAAAAAAGAAGGAAAAGCCGCAATATTGATCTTACTGAAGCCCCCGACATCGTGAGTCGAGGGGCCACCCTTGGAAACATTTCGACCCAAAATCAAAATTTCACATGCGTGTTTTTTGAGCTTAATCGATTCCTTTCGAAGTAAGAAAGTCACAAATGTGSAGTTATAAAGTCTTTGGGTCAATAATAAGGAATAAATCGTCGGTTAAAGATCGTGAACGCTAAAAAAACGCTTTAAATGTGCCGAAAATGTCTATTATTTCGGATCTGAAACTTCTTGCATGAGTTTAACTTCTTCTTCAATGAGTTCGATTCATTAATCGCGTCCGTGATCTGATAATGATGTAAAATTTAAGACATTTGAGAAAATTTTCATTTTTTCAAATAGTTGAGCCCCTTGTAAAAATTAAAAAAAATAAAAACGTCACAAATGTGCATTTGTAAGGTTTTTGCATCAATAATAAGGAAGAAATCGTCGGTTAAAGATCGTGAACGCTYAAAAAACCCTTTAAATGTGCATATCTGAAACTTGTGGCATATAATTCAATGAGTTCGATGCATTCCTCRYGTCCGYGAKCTGAAAATGATGWAAAATTTGAGACATTTTTAAGTTAAGTAAGGTTAATAAAAAATAATTTTCTAACTTTCAGCAATATCTAAGCGCTCTTCTTGATGCCGTTTACGAAGACGGAGTAAACGTAACCGGCTACACTGCATGGAGTATCCTGGATAACTTAGAGTGGGCGCATGGATATGAGTAAGTGATTATTACTAAACATTTGTTTGGATATTTTCCTAAATAATTGTTTGAACAACACGTTTATATAACTGTTTGCATTTTAGGCAAAAACTAGGTTTGGTAGAGGTAGATTTCAGCAGTCCGGAAAGGACTAGAACGCCCAGAGCTTCGTACTATTGGTATCAAACGGTTACTCGTAACAGATGTTTAGTGGAAAACTGCGGCCAGATATAAAATCGTCTTATGATTAATATCCCTTTTTCAATTGTATTCAATATGCGGTCATTTGGGCACTTTTTGTTCAAAATCCCGTTAAGATCAGTTGAGTTGGCAAGAGTGTTTAAATTAAATAAAACTACATGTTTCTCTCTTGCACAGTTAATAGATTAAGAATTCGATGTTAAAAAGTCTCTGACAACAATGGCTCAACAAATTAAAACACAAGGTATTTCTAAGTTTTTTTTTTGTTATGATTCAATGCTAATGGAAACTTTGGTATGTCTTTACTTAATGTACACTTAATTATGTCCTATTTTGCAAGACATTAACTAATAAAATAAACCGATTTTAGCAGTTTCAATATTAAATTAACATGCCTCATTTTTATTTCCTGTCTCCAAACCCTTCTTCCCGAAAATATTTAAGGTTGGTTCATTACTTTTAATAATGTTGAAGTCGGAATTACTACAGTAACATTTTCTCGATTAAAACTCATTTATTATTATATTTCTGTTCGTGCAATTCCTTTATTTCCTACTCTTTCTTCCTTTCTTCCTGTCGGTCATCAAGCAAAATTAATCAAACTTTTTGTACTTAGACAGAGGCAACTATCAAGGGATCTTTTATGTACGTTAATGATCAGCTACATTTCGAGATAAGAACATCTCAGCTTAATAAAAAAATTTTGATTACTTTACAAAAACACTTGAAAGCAGATTGCGTCAGATCATGGCAAGTAAAGTAGATATGAAACAAACATGATCTAATTGGTGATAAAGTTTAGATGGCGATGTACTCAAGAACAGTAATTTTTAGTTGTTTCCAAATTAATGTTAAGATGATGAAAATACTGGGAATTATCTGGTGCACATTTGTCCTGGGGTAAACATATCTGAAAACTCGAAAGTTTTCAAATCTGAATGCCTGGAACTCACTTTATAGATATACTGTGGCAACAGATTCGCCCAGCAATAGGTTTTTTCCCGAAGATTTTTCATTGGGAGTAGCAACTGCAGCGTTTCAAATAGAAGGGGCATGGAATGAGAGCGGAAAAGGCGAACAATTATGGGACTGGTAAAGAAAGTTTCCAATTCCTGTTGTTGAAACCACTTTGAAAGTTTCTGCCACAGGTGGATGCACACATATCCAGATAAAACTCTCAATCGTGATTCTGGAGATGTGGCTTGTGACTCGTACCATAAATGGAATGAAGATTTGGAATTGTTAAAAGTTCTCGGTGTTAACCACTACAGATTGTCTATTTCTTGGAGTAGGATTTTACCTAATGGATGGGCAAACATCAATACAATTAATGAGGAAGGAGTGAAATATTATAGAAATTTGTTAGAGGTGAGAATAAGTCTTTTGCCAATACATATATCATTTTGGAAGCTTAATTTGTTACTCCTAGAAATAATATTAAAGTGCATTTGTTCTACATATATGTTGTATATATATTAAATGTGCAAGTTTATGCTTCAGTTTTAAGTGTTTTGTGCTTGTGGACACCAGAAATTTCAGTACATTTGTTTTGCTCTTCAATGCATTTTTCGTTTTCTGTTTCTCAACAGTATCTTATTTTCTCAATCTTAATTTTATTTGAAATATAATTGTTCAGATCTGTTTGCAATAATCTGAAATATTTCTTAGGCGTTAATCGAAGCAGGTATCACCCCATACGTAACATTGTACCATTGGGACTTACCGATTACTCTTCATCAGTTTGGAGGTTGGCAAAATCCCATCATAGCTGATCATTTTGCGGCTTATGCCCGTATTTGCTTCGAATTATTTGGAGATATTGTCAAAAATTGGATTACATTGAATGAGCCACATTCATATTGTTTCTTAGGGTAAGTTTGCTTAGAAAAAGAAAATGAATATTTAGAAGGTGTATTTTATTATTTCTTTATTGAAAGAAGCTAACATTTATATTGTTGATTTTTGCATGTGCAAGCTTTTGAGAAGAGGGAATTATTACATTGGATTTAAAGCCAAATTCGCGATATCCTTTCACTTCTATGCTGTACTTTCACCAATAAAATAATTTCGACGAGAAAAAAAAATAAAATTATTTCTCCTCATGGAGAAGTCCCACAATATTAAGCAATAATATAATTATTTTAGTTACGGAACTGGATATCATGCACCTGGGTACGCACTTCCTAGTGAAGGCGTTTACAAATGTGCCTACACTAGTGTTTTAGCTCATGCTAAAGCCTGGCATATTTATGACGAGGAATTCAGAGCCACACAAAAAGGTACTAAATATTGTAAAAATCAAATTATATATAGAGTTATAATGCCATACATTTTACAGTTTCCAATTCGTAATTATTGGCTGTGTCTTTGAGATCTTGGCTGGATTGGAAAATTGTCAGATTGCAGCATACATTTGCAATTTCATGAATATTTGATATTAAAAACTTGTTTAAGCTCTTTATTTTTAACGATTTTCTTTGCAAATTATATATAAAATGTATTATTAAGTCATGATTATCCGTTTAGCTCAAACATGCCCCTGAATTTAAAGTGGTTAAGCCTGTGAATGATTAATAAATTACTCTTTATTTAACTGAAAACTTGATGTAAAAAATGGCTTAAAAGTAATCTGATGAGAAACTTGAGAAAAAATGGAAACTTTATCGGAATTTGCGGCTAGTTTTATAGATGCACGTTGTTCATTTCACAACAGATTGTAAGAAGTGATCAGTTCTTAATTAGCATCAATTTCTGCGATTATACGTTTTCCTTTCAGATCTTCTTCAATTCTTCTGCTCTGCAGGATTATTTTATGTGTTTTAGGTCGAGTATCTATAGTAATTGATAGCCCCTGGTTTGAACCCCTGACAGATACTGAACAAGATAGAGAAGCAGTTCAAAGAGAGCTGAATTTCTTTGTAAGCGTCAATGTAGTTATTATTAATTTCATTATTTATTTGCATTTTATGCCAGTTTGGTTTGTATGCTAACCCGATTTATAACGGAAACTGGCCAGAGCAGGTAATAAGGATAGTTGATGCCAGGAGTGAATTGGAAGGATATTCTTACTCTCGGCTGCCCAAATTCACTGAAGAAGAAATTCAGTATATTAAGGGCACATCGGATTTTTTCTCTGTTAATACGTAAGGACATGCTATAAATCTGCGAAGTTTTCAACAGTTAATCATTCCTTTAAAATTTCATTTGAATTTTTGAAACCGTAAATTCTGCATTTAAATATCTAATTCAATTACTTATTTTACTGAAGAAAATTAGGCATTCTTTTTAGGAATTTCTAGACTATTTTCTGCTGCATTTACTATTTTTAATTACATTTGCAAACTTTCCAAGTGAACATGTATACATTCTTTCAGATACTCAGCTTATCTTGCTCATCATCAGCATAGTTGGGATGAATCGATAGACCCTGATGAGGTAACTTATTATGCAGACCAAGGCAAGTTTATTATTACATCATATAAGGAAAAATATTTATATGCGATGATGATTTTAGAAATTTTAGAAATGGAAATAATAGTATTTAGTCTAAAGTTAGTGAATATGTTTTAAAGTGGAAAATTCTGACTGCAATCTGGTTCTGAAAAATTTCCAGTTTAATCCATTTCTTGATGATCACACTAGAGATTCTTCAAATATTAGCATGATTAATTGTTGGAAGAAGGCTTTCAAAACTTCCTAAGTGGATTCTATGTGGATCCTTGTCTCATGTTCATTTTTTTCCAGGAGTGGTAAATTCAGTTGACCCTGCATGGGCCTCAGATGTTGAATGGGTTCACAAGGTGCCTGCAGGCTTTCGAAAACTGCTCAATTACATCCATAACACATTTGGACAACCAGAAATAGTCGTTACAGAAAATGGTTGGGCCCAAAATGTTACAACTGCTGGAACAGCCGATCAAGATAGAATCACTTACCTTAGCGTAAGTTTGACTCAATTTCGTTGGTATCAATAGAATGTGCAAGTTGCAAGTTAAAAATGTGTAAAGTACGTTCTTAACTCGTCTAGAGTCAAGTGAAATTTCATTAGAGTAGAGGGTTTGTAGTTAAAAATACATTCTTCAGGGCGCATATTCCGGTAAATGTCTTGTAACTATCTCAGTTCTTCGGTTCTAACAATCCAATCCATTAATCGGAAGCGAAAAACCATGGTAGGTTGTTTACTGTTATAAAATATTTCTTTGGAAGATTTCCTACTAAAAAAATCGTGAAAGTTTCAAATATCCCATTTATAAAGCTAAATTAACATGTGTATTTCTAGGAGTATCTCAGCGCTCTTCTTGAAGCGATTTATGAAGACGGTGTAAACGTGTCTGCTTACACAGTCTGGAGTTTGATGGACAATCTTGAATGGGCAAACGGATATCAGTAAGCAAAAGTGAAAAATATGCGTTTTTTCATTTTAGAGTCGATTTAATTGTAGGCAGAAATTGGGACTTGTTGAAGTAGACTTTAGTGATCCAGAAAGGACCAGAACTGCAAAGGACTCATACTTTTGGTATCAGATGGTGACAAAGAACCGGTGCTTGTACAGTGATGCAAGTTTGTGTATCTAATTAAAATTTCAATTATTTGCAATAAAGCTTTCTTAGGGGGCAATTACTAAATATCTATTAACTTCCTGATTTTAGTTTTATGCTTTATGAAAGATAATCATTTCATTAACATTAATTACATTTGATGTGCTTTTATTTCCAATTAATTAGTTTTATCATATTTAATTGATCTAGAATGGTTCTTTATATAGGCAACAAAGTAAGTATATAGGAGGCTTTTAAGCACAACTGATGCTGAATTTTAATACTTGTCAAATAAATAATCAACATTGATAATTAATTTACATATTACGCAAACATTTGCATACTCACGCCAGAAACCTCAAGCGAGAGGAAACTGGTCGTATACTTAGCGTGCCATCCGTAATCGATAAATCTATTCCAAAGAATTCCACGCTAATTAAATCTGCCAATTATTACTTGTAAAATACTACTGGTTATGCGACGTGCCTAGATCTAGATGGAAAGCGTATAAGACGCAGATATACAACCAGTGGTAGAAATAGAATAAGACCCATCTTGTTCGAGATCATTAAGAAGGAACAACAATTTACTGTGATTTGCTACCGATTGATTGATTGGCTGTTGGTAGATAAATGTAATATTCTGTGTATGTATGAAAAAGCAACATGCGTAAGTAATCAATTCAGTTATCACCATCATCATCTTGGGCTCATCAAATTTTACGTGTTTTCTTTAATTTATCTCATGAATCGTTTGTAGCAATTTGCTGGAAATGTAATTCAAAACCGTGCAGCGTTTTATGTTTTCTTTCCCAAACCAAGATTTACTAGTTTAGATAATAAGCTGTTGTTTTGCTAGCAGTTTCAGCTTTGCTTTAAGCGTACCCAAATTTACAGTTTCTAGCAATTCTTATTAAAATTCCGCATAATGTTAAATGAAATTTTTTTGAGTTAAAAACATAATTTGTAGTTTAGCAAGAATTATTTTTTGTTGCTGGCAGACATATTTTCAACTCGGTTGAATCAATTTAGGGCAGGGTTTTAGCATGATTACTATTGCGTCAACAATAGTTGATTGATTGACACTGACTTGATTAACTATCGAATAATAATGCGAAAAATCGCTTTAAATACACACGAAAATATATACTGCACATTTTCATAATAAAGCTAAATTCACTTTAAGATACTTCAGAGTTACTATTCAAAACAATAAAGCCTTTTGATAAAATTGAGATGAAAAAATAAATGTCATTGAAAATAACCACGGATTAAAACGAAACTCAATTTTTTTTGGAAATGTAGACTCTTTAACAATAGATTCGCGGTGTTTTTTTAAAAAAAGCGAAGTTTTTCAGAAAGCTGTTTTTCAAAAACGCGGTAGTTTTCATGCAAAAAGTTTTTGCACTTTCACATGGTGAAGAAAATCGTGTTAAGTTCGGACGAAAATATACAGATTTTTATAATAGAGTTTCCATTCAAAACGTCAGACTTTTTTCTATGAAAATTAAGATTTTGCGAAAATAAAACTTATTTATGTTGAAAATAGTCCCGGATTGAAACTAAACTTTACATGTTTTTTAGAAATTTAGACTCTTAAACAATTGATTCGCGGTCTTTTTAGAAAAGTGAAACTCTTGTATTGGGATGCCACAATGTGGTAGTTTTCATGTAAAAAGCTTTTGCACTCTCACATGCAAATACGTCGACAGATACAAATGCGAGTAGCTATATTTTAATGGCAATTTGTCGTGTTTGCAAGCGAAAGGCCATTTTTATTATTTGGTGTTTTGTCCGACCGATTCCAGGCTTTTTTTCATACATGCGAGCTACGTCACCTGTGACGTGTTGATTGATTCCGGGTTATTTGTTCATTGCCGGACTGAATTCGATCAGTAGCGCCGCGCTTTGAATTACATTTCAAAATCTTCATCTCTAACTATTTGTTAACACAGTTCATTTTAAACTTCTAGAACATAACTTCTAAGAACGTTATTTCTTACCCTTCAAGATATTAAGTTTTTCTGCAGTCTGTGGTGGCGAAGAGTTGCTTTTCAATGTTGCTTCTCCTAGCACAGACTCACGTGTATCATGTTGTTTCCACAGAATCTTAAGCATTTTTCTCTGTAGTAACACTTCGTATTCCTCTAGTTGGTACATCGTTCTGACCTTCAGGGTCCACGTCTTTTTCCAATAAAAAAAACCATTCGAAATTAAACAAAATCCTTTGCCCACGGCTTTTGTGGAGGAGAAAGTTTATTTCAAAAAGCGTTTGCGCGTTCCGGAGGTGTGTCTGAAGTCGAACTGAGAAATGCTTGGAAACGTTTTCGGCAAGTGGGACAAGAGACTGATTAAACGATAATCACTACAACTTTTTGGTTTTTGCTCATGAGACAAAGCAATAAAAGTTGACGATTTCAATTTAGTCGGTATTTTGCATATGTTGTTTATGCTGTTAAACAGTTGAGATTCAGTCTACGTAATATTTTCTTCTGTAATAAGCTTCTGAGCGGCATTCGGAATTCTGTCATGACCGGCCGCATTTTTATTCTTTGCTATTGACAAGAACTATAGATCTTCTATTTCTGAACTTCCTCTCTACATTCAACTCTGCCCGGCTTCGTTGACATTTTCATAATCAGATTTTGTAATTTCTCTGATTTTACGGTTATTTTTAATTCAACTTTTCTTCAGTAAACGCCAATGAAAAATATTCAAATACATTTCTCAACGTAAATGAGCTCAAACTACTCAAACATCTTGCCGTTTTGAACATAAAGCGCTTTATGGGGCTCTTCATAATTGGGTAGTTTAAAATATGCCTTACTTTTAAATTGCCTGCGGCAATGAAAAGCACTTTGAAACAAACTGCATGCATGCAAACAATGTTGTAAAGCCATATGCGTGGAAATGTTAATAAACTGTTTGTTTTCATATTCTCATTTTTGTCGCTTTGTTATTCGGCACCGCTCGATATGTTCCACTGTGGAAACGGCCATGTGCTAATAATAATAAAAATAAATATTCTATCCGATAACATTGTGGAAAGTGGGAAATTGAAATGTTCGCGTTGCGACATAATGCGCAATTTTGATGGGTAATCTAAATGCAACGAGCTGAAAAATTGTTTAAAAATCTCCATAATTATGCCTCAAAGGGGCATTAAATTCTATTTCCAAGCAGGTTTGACCCGCATGAAATGGAGATCTATTATAGTGTCAAATTGCCAGCATTAGTCACTGTTATTCCACGGAGAACTGGAAAATTATGATGTTTTTCCTGGAACTGTCCGAGATGCGAATTTAATTCTAGGAACGTAGCTATGTGCGCTTAATCCAGAATATCTATCTGGATAGCCGCGTCTAGACGGCGACGAATTTCCTCGTCGTTAGAACATTGTTTTCGCTTTTTCGGAATTGTATTTTATTTGAAAAACCTTGACCAAAACTCTGCTTTATGAACGCATGAATCACCAAACATAATATGAAAGTCATCTTAAATATCAACTTACCCTTGCCTTTATCTCGGTCTTAACAAACCACCCTTTAATTAAGAACAACGCTAAGTCCCGGTATTAACCCTTAAAGACTCGAAATCTATTATGACCGGCCCTTTAAGATTATTAGGGTAATTCCTTGTGAAAACTTCCTGGAGAATGAGAGAGTTTTTGCTTCCGACTTTAGCTGACTTGACGTTATTTATAGGGCGTTTAAAGCCTCGAGGCACAATTCTGCGCTTTGGAAGCTTAATATACCATTTGAAAAGTGAGTCCATTAGGTAAAATTTTAAGTTTCTTTACATTCTACTCTCTTTTTCATTTAGAGCATCAATTATTCTTTGAAATCATAGTTTCTTAAATTAAGATCTGTTCAGATGTTTTGTTATGAATTCGGAAAGCGAGAATAGATGCTGGCTTTTGAGACAATACAAATGGAAAATGGTTTCAAAGATAGTTAAATTTTGATTGGAAACCATACTTGAGTACGTACAATACATTATTTTTATTTCTAGTTCATACTGATAAAGCTTGAATATGCTTTTCAACTACAAAATTTCGGAATTGTCCTAGTGAGCAACAAAGTCACAAATAAATAACAGGATGGTTAATAAAAGCAATACAAGCAACAAATTTTCTTATTGTGGGCTGCTAAAAGTTGTGCCAAGCTAAAATAAAAAATAAAATTGCAAATAAAAAAATAAATTATAAATTTGATTTAGACACTGTCCATTTATTTCTATTTCCGATCGTTAAGACCTCCTGGCTGACGGAAGCCTGTTAATTTTTATTCTCTCGTGTTTTAAATTCATAGCATGTTTCCGCACTCGTATTTTTTTGAACTCAGTAAACTTGACCCCATTTGCCAGGAGAAACTTGAAACCCACAGATTATAAAAAATACGTTTCTGCTATTATTTTGGGCTGCAACGCAGTTAAACATTTTATAATCATTATTGGATCTTTTTAAATGCATTCGGGCATATTTTATTGAAGCCAAAATTTTCGCATACTTTTGCTAATAAAACATATGGCAAGTAAAAATGCTTTAAGTACTTCCAGGTAATTTTTATTGGCGTCTTTTGAAACATTAAATGGCAACTTCCATAGTTGTGTGAATTTCTCACTTCGCCAGGATTGCAAACACACTTAGCTCTTATATGCTAATTTTATGGCCCATCTTGATGGCTGTTTAGGTCTTTTCCTGATCCTTCGGACTAATAAAAGAACGCTTCCATATCAATAAAGAACCGCTTAAAGCTTGCAGTGAGGAAATTAGAATCTAAAGTGAGAAAACTTATTTCATTCACACCCTATATTTAGCTGATGAGCGTTTATTGAAATATTGCAGATATATTATCAAGTCCGGGATTACTAAAATGATCCAAAAAATAGGTCAGTTTTTAATACATTCTTCTAAAATAATTTCATATAAAAATGCATTGGCGCTCGGCATTTGCAATCGTTAGCCCGGATCAGCTTTGTTTATATTGCCGGAAATATTCAATACTTTTTGAAAATTAAGTAAAAATCTATTTTTGGGCTCAACAGTAAGTAGGTACTAAATTACTACTGTAAAATGTACTTTTAATGTT